TGCCACTTTGTGCTGCAGGTTGCCCGCGAGCCGAGAGTGAAAGTGTGTCACGGTATTTTTCGTTTTTCACGCGATACCCCTGGCAGACGGTGGTCTTGAGACGTTTTGACGTCACGGAGTTGATCGAGTTCTCGCAATTCAATGCATCGATAAAGGTGTTTGTGTCGCTTCTGCGAGCCATTCACCGGCGACAGGAAGTTTAATTTGATTTTAACGAGATTCTGATCGAGTCACGTTCACGGCACCGAAAGGAAATCCATTCGTACGATCGATTAAGTCGCAGGTATGAATGTCAGTTACTCGAAAAAAAAGCGGGAAACGATTCGCGTTCAATCGAACGGAAACCGTTCGAGGGGATCAGTGTAAATATGATTAAAACATGGGTCCAAGGGGTTAATTTATGAAGCACCGAGTCACTTGTCCCATTAAATTCTTTCACGGATGATAGGCTTTGCGGGGCACCAGAAGTCGCGAGATACACGCTTCGAGGAGAAGAATGAAAGTCAGAAATTTCCTTTTCAGATGCGGAAACACGTAACGCTACGTCAGCGATCTTGAATTTATTCTAGTGCCTTTAAAATAACTTGAACAAATACGCATGAAAGAGTCACACGGTCCCATTAGGAAAGGGGAAATGCAACTGTAACTGCAATTTTCCTGTGCATCATTGCTCCGACTGCGAAACAAAAACGAAACTTATTTTATCGCTCGACTTTTTCTTTCGCCATCTGTTTCATGCAGCTCGTTGCAATCGCGTGACATACGAAATTCTGTAAAATTTATTCGCAGGAAGTTATATTAGACCGCTCTCATAAATATTGTTCCTCCAGTACTTCGTTGTATTAAAAGCTATCTTCTCTACTGGTAAATTAAAGGAACTCGCAGAAGATTAATCAATAATCAACTAAGTACGTGTTTTATTTAGTTTCTAAAATTAACGATACACTCTCAAAGACGTGTATCTGCTCTTTGTAAATGTCCATCAGTGCGTTCTTACGGAAGGGGTTAAGAAAACTAAATTTATCATTTTTCCATGCAATCTACGTACTATAATATTTTTCTATCGCCCGACGCCTCGGTCGATACGACGTTGCGTAAACGAATAGACAGCCGAAATGTACAAGACATTTTTATCTCGCATCGAAAATTCGTTAAAAAAATGTTAAAAATTGCGACACGGAGGGTTACCTCCTGCGGTTGTAGGTTCCAAGGGTAAACATAAACTAAGAAGCTCGCCGAGGGTTGGTCGAAGGGGGAGCAAAAGAGAAACGACGATGAACGAGTAGAGGGGGAAACGAGGAGGTAGGCACGACGTGCTCGCGCGCCTGTGTTTAGTCGTTGGTCGTGCGCGCGCCATGCTGGATCGGCAATGATCGTTTTTCTCCTTTATATTACAAACGATCCTATTCGTGTTCTCTTGTCGCGTTAATCGAACAGCCTACTGGCTCGAGACGATCTGTTGGCAATTATTTGCAAGGGGGGTTGGGGGGGACTGTTAACCGACACGCGACATTTCCGTTCGTGACAGTTGACAACGATCTAGTGACAGTTTCGTGGTGGAAATCCAGTATACGTAAAATTGTGAGTTCGAACAAATTTACGAGCGACAGGATTATTTAGAATCTTCCAGTCTACACAAAATATCGAGGATTGCTGAATACTTGTTTGTTTATTCTGCCGTTTACTGGAATAGTAAACATCCAGTTGTTGGAAATTGTCAACGATCTGATCCTGTAGTGAAACCCAGTTCCTGAAGAAATCTACCAAGTTATAATCGTAATCTTCCAATAGTCAACTTTTCGAAATCGTTCGCAATATAGGGAAATTGTAGATCAACAAAGGACTAATTGTGCACAGTGAAACTCGTTCCTGGTGAAATTGTCGAGCAGCAGGATTACTCATAGCGGTAATCTTCCGATTTCTAACGTTCAAATTGACGGACAGCTCCACCGAGAGGCACGCGAAGCCTCGAAGATACTTGAAACTATTCGAAGACACTCGAAGCTAGCTCGTTAACAGCTCGTCGAAGGTGAAAGCCGGTCGATAACGTTATCTGGCCGCAATAATTGCAAGCTCCGTCGCTCGCGAAGAAATGTTGGTGACCGTGTGTCAACAGGTGATAGGATCCAGCGTTGAATGAAAGCCGTGAAAGACGCGAAGAGGGACGGACGAGTGTCAGCATCGTTCGGTGGATCGATCCAGTAGAAGAGCGTGTTTTGCTGGAGCGTTTGGTCGCGCGATAAGGTCACGTTCGCGTGTGCCGGCAGACAACGACTCGCGATAACGAATCGAAACAGAAACAGAGGAAAGGGGCCTCGTCTGGCGCCTTGTTCCTCGCTAAAGTGACGCGTCGCCTTGGCCAATAAAACGACAGACGTCCGTACAACGAACGAATCCGGGACAGCTGCTCCTCGAACACGGTAGTGGCGCGTCTCGTTCGTTGGCCTCGTCTTTGCTTTCGTTCCGTTTCGAGCCAAACTAGTCGAACGAAAAAGAAGGAAGTGAACTACGCCGGTGAGCCTACAGGCTGATAAGAAAGAGTGCTCGTTTCGTTGTGCATCGGTGAGAAAAGAAAAGGGAGAGTAGGGTAGAATCGAGGACGATGACTCGACCGAACTGAGAGACGAACACAGAGGATTCGTCAGGATGATGATGGCACCGCAGGTGGTGGGTGTCCTGTTGAAGAAACCGGGACAACAGAGCCACCCACGTTTTCCACCGTTGGATCCGCAGGAGACGAAAATAAGAGGTGAGTGTTCTTTCTCCTTCATCTTTTTTTTCATCTTCCTTGTGCGCTCTGGTGTTTATCTTATCTGGCGCTCGTTTGTCCGGCGTTTAATTAAAATCGTGGAGGAAGTGCGATAGTCAGGAAGTGTATCGTTACGGTTCTTCCAGAGAACCTTTTTTCAGGACTTTACAGGGACGAATTTTTACGTGACTTCGCTTGTTCTCTCGAAAATAAATTTCGGTTATATTCAAATTTACTCGCAAGCCGAGTTCGCGAGATGAAAATAGTTCGCCTAGCGACAGATCTTCGCGAGGACGTCCCGTGAACGCTCGAAAACGTAAATTCACCGTTCACCGGCCTTCCTAGACCCGATCCTTGTTACATTATCGATGTTATGATTCATTGGGTCGTGTTGTTACAACATCCATCTTATCAGGTCGTAACTCGAGGCGCTGTTCGTAATGAAAGTGAACGTACGAGCGTTTCTTGAATCGTACGTTACTTCTTCGAATATATAGGTACATCGATTTTCCGAATAACTAACTTCGAAAGGAACGCTGGACGTTGGTCTGGTTTCATTGATGGAAGACTCGAGGCGATCTGCTTCGATTCATCCGAAAAAGGATACCGGTACTCGTGTAATTTATTACGACGACGTACACCGAACACCGAACGTGTAACATACGTCGTGAATGTCAATTTCGCGACACGGTACTTTCGATATTAGAATAAACATGGATATAGGAATTAAATAATATACGCTCGCTTGCATGGGACTTTATAAAAAAAATCTGTAAAGTTTTGATCTTGTTGGTACACAAGATTATCTTATGACAAATTTGGATAATTTTAGCGATAAATACGTATGAATCAGTAGTTCTGAGTCACTGTTAATATTTAACTTGACCATACGATACGATGTTCATTCATGTAGTAACTTGCAGAGACTAAAGGGTTATATGGCGTTTCTTGGTTCGATTATTGAATATTTCCGTTTAGTTTAATAAAGTTACTCGAAGCTACGTGAGTGACAGGGCAATTAAGATGTCAAAGCGGTAAACGTTATCGTCTTTATCAATTTTACGAAGAAACGTAGCATAGCGATATCATTAACAATAAAGAATAGGTTTTCTCTCACCTGTTAACAGCGATGGACGTTTCCACTTCGTCGTAGACTCCTTCTGAACGCGTTTAATTGCCGTTAAGTTTCCAGAAACGAGTTGTCTTTAAATACAATTAGTCCAAGTTCTCGCGAACGCGATTACAGGGTTACACGAGCAAAATAAAACGAGTGTCACGAAATTCTTGCGGTTATCGGCGAGCGGTGTGGTCGCTTTTTTCCACAGTCCACGGGAACTCGCAACCTCTCGATTCGATTGACAATTCGTGCTCCGTAATCCGGTATCTGGGCTAGCCTGGTAACGGGATACTTTTACGCGGTTATCCACTCTGGCTAACATGAAAACGGTCCCCGTCTAGCCTCGCTTACGAACTTCTCGTTCCTTTTTCCAAACTACTACTTCGAGCGAGCGTTAGCCCTGACACCGTCCACGATTTAATGTCACCGTTGACGATACCAGGGGAAAATTTCACCGTGAAAGTCTCGTCATAACTGGTTTCGCTTCGATACGACTCATCGATAATTGTTTTCAAAATGTAACACGCAGATTAGGTTGACGTGCTAGCGTTTCTTTAACACTAAACCTACCGACATGTGTACCCACTTTGAAATTAAAAATGAAGTCAAAGAATAAATAAACAAACGACGAAACATAAATTAATACACACATTTGTTCTTTATCTTGATGAAAATCAATGGTGATTTTAAGAAATGTATTTTAACAAAATGTGTACCTTATAATAAGAAACTTGAGGTGCGGTCATTTGAGCGGTTTGGTAGTTTTAGTGTTAAAGAAATACATCACCTCGAAGCGTGTGAACTTTGAAAATTTTTATACGAAAAGCATCGATGATGCCTTCAGTTTCTTGCGATTTCTTACGATCGTCATTGTGTACTCAATGATGACAAAGCTGTTCCTATTAATTTACCTAATCAGTATCGGAAAATTGCGCACAATCTATTAACGCGAAATCGACCGACTGATAACGGTGTTCCGAGGTGATGAATTCAAGGTCGTCGAGATCGAAGAACCGCGCGAAAGTTTGTTACGCGAATGGTTAATTGTGGGCTGGCAAGTGGAGTACCTGAATTCCATCGTTTACGGCAGGTCAAGAAACAGTAAAAGGAAAGCAGGTGAGTCTATTAACGTACCCGTACCGCTTTTGACGCCGTTGTTGAATTTCTACCGACACTCTCTTCCCTGCTCGCGCCAATTATCGTCCCTTTCTCTTCTAACGGAAATCCGCCTTCAACGCGCTTTGATTTTTCAATTTTCCTTCCCTCATACCGGTTGCGCCGCATCTCCCTCGCCGAGCTCTGTCGTTAACAGACTCGTCTTTACTCTCGTCGAGACACTGCCAGCTACGAACGCTCTGAAACAAAAACGAATAATCAAAGTCGTAAACTTATCCAAGTTTCACGGTTTAATATCTGACCCGGTGAAAATCTACAGAGCTTTCGTGCACAGGAGTATTTCGGGAAACGCACTACTGCAGAACTAGAATCGAATAGCTTCGGTATTAACGTAATACCGAGGACACTAAGAAGCTCCGAGCACGCCATTGAAATTTAGGTCACAGCGTCGAATTAAGCACGGTTCACAAGTGCTATTGACGAAAACCCGCCACGACCAGGGATTAAGATGTATACACCGAGATAATGTTAGCCCCCGTTCGTCGAGTTTCTTCGAATGTCCGCGAATCCGTGTATTGTGTATCGTCCTGAGAAGTTTTTGAGTATCAACGTTTAATAATCCTGCAAAATGTAGGGAACAGCTGGTGATCGTGGTAAACTGTAGCAATTAATTTGGACGAGCCGAAGTAGGAAATGAAAAGAGGATATTGGAGCAGAGAGAGAAAAAAGGGGGCAATAGACGAGGTGTTTGGCGCGAGAGGATCGAATGCAAGTCGCGAGAAACGACATCGTGACTTAGGTTCGTCGATCGAATCGAATCTCGGCCACGGAAGACGCGCGTTCTGCCTTTCACTAAATGCTCGACCGTCTTCTTTTACACGTATTCGGGATTCAAATGGTCGACCCGGTCGTGCCATTTACCATTCTAGCCTCCGTGCATCAGCGTGCGGCTCGACGAGCGCTCTTCATTGTACGCTGCTGAACACCGCAGGCTTCCCTAAGGAAAATTACGATGTGGGGACCAACACCATTCTCGGAAATTTGAGAATTTCAAGATTTGACAATTTGGAAATTTAATTTATGTAGTCTGCTTTCGAAGTGAACGGGGCTTAACGCGCTCGATTGAAAATGTTTGTTATTCAAGAAAAACGAGAGCAGAGGAAGTGGGACGACTCCTCTTGCCGCATTATTCGTAGGTAAACAGGTGTTTCAGGTGTAGGTGGGTGCTGTTACGGTGGGCGAATTCGATAATTCACTTTCGTTCGTTCGAACCTGCGGGCGAGGATAAGATATTTTTAGGAAAACTTGTCAAATTTCCACTTCTCGGAATTCATCGTCATGGTGTTAACAGCGTAATGAATTTAAAAGAATAACCATTACGTCTGATTTAGTAACATCGTTTTTGTGGCAAATAATGAGGGTACAAAAGATTGAGAAATTGAAAAGAGGACTCTCGGAAACGGTTTTACGAAGCTTTCACTCGGTTCGAGTAGCATTTAAGGTCAATTCTTGGCGGTTCTCTTTCAAGAAACTGTGCTCGCGATACGAAGCATCGGATAGATTGAGATGACTGTTCCAATTGCGAATGGATAATTAAAACAGCAGGTGTGGCAAGGTTATCGATTTATCTCCGTCGATTATTGCGGTGCGTCCGAGCATTGACTACATATTTTCGATAATTAACAATCTGTCGATATTGCAATTGATGGATTCTGTCATTTTGTAAGCGGGAAATGGCGATTTCTATACTTTCACGTTGGCAAAAGTGTCGTTGAACTGGTAGCAAATGCAAGAACGATCTATCGATCACAAATTGATCCTGGATCGCGTTCCTCGCGTGAAGGCATCGCTCTGGAGTCCCGTCGAAGAAAACTCGCTTTTCTTTTTCTCGACCTCTCACCGTATCGATATCATAATTAACCGAGGAGAAGATTTAATAATATTCGCTTTCTAATTCCAGTGTTCGCGATCGTATCGAACTTGCTCGGTCACGATTTAACATTTTGAACCGCTTTGGCGATTGTTTAGAGTTACTCGAGATAGTTCTACAGTTTTTCTTTCTCTTTGGTACCTTTGTGAACCATTTTAATAGAGCATCGTCTCTAAAGACGTTTAACTTGATTGTTGATGTAAAAGAAAATTAGAAATGAAGCATATGGTTATAATTAGGTTGAGTGAACTTAGTCAACGGTTCGGGGAAGACTTATCAGAGGAGCCGATGAGTCGACTCGTCCGTCAAACGAATATTAATTGTTTGCGACGAGAATGTTATCTAACATAGATTTTGCATAAAGTTCAACCGAACACGAACGAGCGAGGCACGCGATTCCGAACAGAAATAGTAGCACAATGAAGCGGCGACCGTGTACGCAGAACTACACGTTATCTCGCAGTTTCGTGCGTCTTATCACGGCCTCGGATGATAAAGCATCCGGAATTATTCAACGTTCAACGAACGCCTGGACCAACTTCTAGTTGAAAAATCTTGAAAAGAACGAGCAAAGTAAAATTTAATCATCGCTCGAAACTTTATAACCTTTTAATTGCGCTTAGCAATTATCGCGAGATAAAAATTCCCAACTTGCTGGATTTAAAATAACAGAAAATTATTCGCCAGAGAGAGTTCGATAGTGTTTGAAGTCATTTTATTGTACCCCGATTCGCTCGACCGCTTCATTATTGCTCTAATTATATCGGTATTAATTTCGAGAAGAGATTAAGTTAACTTTGCTTCGTATTTTATGGTAACAATATTTGTCTCACGAAAATGATCTGAAGTTCTCTAAGACTCGCATCCTGTCGTCAAACAACGATTATCCAACACGATGCAAAGAAAAATGAGTCCAAATAAAATTCCATCAGCCAGTATAAAACTGCACATCCTCTCTTTCCTCCTTTTCCCCCTTTTTCTTTGACGGTCAAACATTTTCTCCGATAGTATCGGAGCTGTTCCATCGACCCGTTTAAGCCGGATTTCTACGAGGCATGTATCGCGTAGAACCAGGTTCTGGCTCCCCGGATTCGTAACCAGTCCTGCAAGGGAAAAGCGGTTGTGAAAATGTCTATGCGATCCAGGATCTACGTGATCCAGGATCTACAATCGTGACACGACGATCGCGCGAGCGCTCACCGCTTCTTTCTGCAGCCTCTTCCGAATCGAATTACAATTTTCTCGCTGGAACGCGTCTTGCAAACAAACGAGCACTTGGCGCGAATTCACGCGATTCCGAATTCTACCATGTCGTTTATCAAATTTCTAATTCTTCGAATTTTTGTGTCTTCAAATTCTCCATTTCCTAAATCTCCCTTTATAGCAGTATAAAATTTGGAGATAATTGGCTAGCAAATTGAGCGAGACAGTAGGCGATAAACAGTTGCGCTATTCCGAGAGGAAACAGCTTCGTAACACTTTGTCTCGCCAAAAAAAGTCTGAATCGTTTCTTTTCCCACAATCTAAAAATTAATACCGGTGTCGTACATAACCGAGTTACTACGGAACGGAGAAAGAAAGTTCGAACGAAAACGTTGCGCCGTTTGCTCTAGCTCTTTTCCTCGGTTACATAATGACAGGCTCGCGTTGATATCCAGTTGTTCGATTGTATCTGAATCGAGTTGCACCAACGAGTTTTAGACAGTCGAAAAATTGAGCAACGCGTTCTCTCGATTAACTTTTAATTTACGCGGAATTTAAAACGCGGTTCGCGCGATGTTTCCTTTCTCCGCTTTAATGAATTTTGAAATCTCGTCAACTATTGTTCAAAGTTAGCGGTAACGGGAAGCTCGTTAAAGTTTATCGAAATCGGTCGTGCAGGATGGTTGAATTTCACCGGTCGCGATTCGAACCGGCTTGGATATCATATTTTACTGCAATCAGTTTTGCCTGGCAAAGCGGACGAGCAGGGAACTTTCTAAAAATGATTTGCATGCGGTAAAAATATTCCACGACACCTCGGGAAACGTCGAAGAGGATCCACAGCTGGTTAGAAGCTGACGGTAAAAAATAGAGGAAATGGAGGATGAAAAGATAGCCAACCGGACAATAGGGAGTAGAAACGAGGAAACGCGCGATCAGACAGATCGTTGAAAATTAATTTGGAAATGGGAGAAAATAGAAAGTGTTCGACAGTCGAACGGTTTCTAAACGTTTACTGGTTAACCGAACGTCGAATATAATCTCAAAGTCCACTCTGCGCTCCGTTTTTCTTGTTTGGAACGCAGCAAGCTTCGCGACAAGCGTTTCGCGACTTTCTTCCACGTCCAGGCGAATTTTTTGCCCGCGCACGTGTTTCGACGAGGCTCGTCCACAAATTAATTAGCGACAGTCGAGGAGAGAAGGCAGAGTCGGTCTCAAGTGGGTGTAATTAGACGCCCTAGCCGTCTGTCGCCCAGACAGAAGACGAACAGGCGAAAAGAAAGCTCGCTCGAGATGAATGACGACGCCACGCTGCTGGAAAGAGAAAGCAAACTGTTCGGATAGAAAACCATTCTTATTAAAATCAGTTCTTACTCGAAATCCTATCGTTAGCGACGAACAATAGCGGACTTCAAATTAAAAGGCCAATTAAGTTGTGGAATATGCGAATCGGAAGATCGCGAACGATAAAAGAAACTGGAGGAAAACGATCGGAAATTGAGAAGCTTCAATTTTGAAACAATGTTTCCATTCAAGTACGAAGGATTAATTAAAATTCATAGCGTACAGAAGAAGCATTTGCTCGAGTCGTGTATCACGGTCTCAGCTCGTTACTCCGATCGAATAGATTAATCAAGCTGGAAGCAGTTTGAGAAATTACTTCTCCAGTCGCGAGTTTCCCGAGTAGACTGTACTCAATCGAGTCTGCGTACAGTAGCACAGTTAGTGTCCATTAATTTCTTTCTCTTCTCTTATTCGAAAGAAACTGCAGTTGGAAACTTTCTCGCCGACAGAACGATGCTTCATCGAGCTTGAAAACTCTGTGCGAGAAACCTCGAATTTATCCTTCACCAAATTTTTATCATCCTCGATGTTTAACTCGTCGGTGCCCCATCGCGTTTTATCTTCCATAAACTCTGTAGCGAACTTTATTACTTCGTTTCCTATTTGGAAGAAGTTCGCGCCCTATTTGGAGACGTGAGAAGCCAAATATGTAGATTGGAAATTTTTTTATTATTCGGTTAGCGGCGAAAGGATTAATACGCGGTTATACGGTGGTGGAATTCCGGACTCCCTGCCCGAGCGGACTGTACTTCATCAAGATTG